TCACCCCAATGCTTTTATTCAATTAAAAAAAATCAATTACACCACCTTCATGATAATTCGCCAAACAGTAATGATAATAATAACTTTTATATAATTCTTTCAAATTTGCAAAATGTTTTGAAAACCATAAAAAGGACAGTAACAAGATCACAACTCGTCCTGGCACAGTTTTTGTCTAAATTCCGTTGAACATAAAGATGAAAAGACAAAATAGTAAGTTCCATTTATATAGTGCTATCTATGGTTACAAAACACTTTCATTTCATTTCAAAAAACGTTTATCAAGTGACAGTCTTCAAGTTCTTTAGCTAATCTACATTGATTACATTTAATCTTCTCATTTGGAACATCCCTCTGACTTTAGGTTACATGACATCTAAACAATCTCAGACAGGTGAGAATCCATGTTTTGTTTTTTTTTTAAGCCTCCTGAGAAGGCATTTGAACAGTACATGAGGAATATTTATCATGTTACATTAAATAGGTTTCCCACTCTCAAAGGAATATACAAAATGATCCAAATTCTGCTGTGGTGTTGATGGTATGTTTTACAATGACTATTAGGATTTTCCCTAAAGCTCTCTCCATGTAAATGCAGCTTTATAGCACTAAGCTGATTGTTGCGTTGTGGCTACGAGCAAAATTATCTTCTAGAGGGAGTTAATGGACTAGTACAATTATTTCAAAGCTCCATTTCATTTGAAAAGGGGAAAGAACACTTCCATTTGACAGCATAATAGCGAGAATCATATCATCACCAGTGTTGGTTGTAATTTCTATAAAAATTAGGATTTTCAGCTTACTTAATTGAAAAATATGGGAATTACAGCAAATTAAGTATAGTCATGTAGGTCAGGAGGGTGGTAGGCTTTTTTTTTTTTTAAAGGAGGGCTCTCAGATGCTGCTATTATTTCTGTGCTCTCCTGTCTGGTTCTCAGCTTTGAGGGATCCGATTTTATGAGCTCGTCCCAGGGGGAATAAGGGATGAGGAAGTTGGGGTCTTTTGTTTTCACCCCACCCCCATTTATTAATGGGTCCTTCACCTATCCCCTATCTAGTGAGCTATCATTAATGACTATAATTGCTTCTCTAAAGTCCTGGCTCAGGGTTCTTGGAGGCTAGAAAAGAGGAATATAAACTCTGTCACACACTGCCAAGCTAGAAAGGCTTTGAATATAGTCACAGTCATGGATTGTATATGCATTATCTGAGTTCCAGTCTAATGAATTTCAGAGGTTCACCACCAATTGGGTTTCAGGCTGGTGATTTTTTTTTAAACTCTTACAAATTTTTTCTTAAAAAGTTAAACATAAAGAATGTACAAATGACTAATTTTATGAATCAAATAAAAAAAAGCCTAACTCTTGGGAATGGAAAGAGGGAAAGGAGTCACATGAAATCTCAGTCTAGTGCTTTATTACTTATATTCATTACAAAACTTCTAACACGATGATATAACTCCCTTAGATTACCACCATTCCAGTGCTGTTCTTTTGTGCACCAGGTGCCGTCTTTATACATTCATCAATCACAAGATACATACATGGATCAATCCTCCTCCATTCTTCTCCCCACATTCTTTGGACATGCCTCTCTCAAAACATTTTTTATTTTTTATTTCAGGTGGTTTTGCTTTGCTCATTCTGTTTCATTTGTGACCCTTTATCCCTTCCCTGGGCAAGCTGTGCTCTGGTGAATTTTTTGAGCCCTGGTAACTCTGCTAATTTCCAAGAGACTGCATGCTAAGTTAGGGAAGGGTGGTGTGTGATGTATGTAGCTAAAGGGAATGTCCACACCAAAGAAATAATGTAATCCATTGAAGAATTTGATTGAATTCATTGGCGAGATGATTTTTGAAGAAGATGATTTGACAAACAATTTTGGTGAAATAGAAAGAACATGGGACTTGGAATCAAAAGATGTAGATTTGAGTTTTCTACTTATTAACTATGCAACTCTAGACAAATCATAATCTCTCAACATAAGTTTCCTCATGTGCAAATTAAGAATATCATACTTCAGTGCCTACCTTGCGTAATTGTTGCAAACATTAAATGAGATAATGTATGTGGAAGTGTGTTGTAACTACAAGTTGTTATATAAATGTAAGCTAAAAATAGATAAACCTTATCCGTCATAGGTATATATTTGCTAGGCTGACTGGAATACTTGTGTCAATGGGTGAAGCTTATTTTTTCTTTCAAACATGGCTGAAGACACACTGATAGTTTTTCACTTTCCAACCCTTGTGCAGTTGTTTCTGACTTTTTGTGACCCCATTTGGAGTTTTCATGGCAAAGATACTAGAGTGGTTTTTGTCATTTCCTTCTCCAAATCATTTTACAGATGAGGAAACTGAGGCAAATAGGGGAAAGTGACTTGCCCAGGTCACACAGCTAGTAAGCGTCTGAGGCCGGGTTCAACAAATTTCAAGAAGTTCAGAGTAAGAAGAGGTAGGAGCCTATGGACTAATTTCTAAAGGGGAAGTCAACCTAAGAGGAATGGGATATTTGTAAGAATAAATTTCTGAAGACACAAAGGAAAACAATTCCAATCAGAGGAGAAGGTAAAGTCAAAAGTGACTGATGGGAATGCATAGTGAACTCATCAACAAGCTTAGGTTTTTAAAAGACATCTTCAAAAGATAGAAGCAAGAGCAGATAACAGAAGAAGAATAGAACAGTATTTAATTACCAATAATCTGCATGTGTGAATTGGTGGAATTCCTTGGGATTCCCTTCCATAGGCTCCTGGATCCAGAGGGTTGGTCATGTCTTTTTGTGTTTTGGCAGAGCAGGGTTTTCTGGTCTGGGACCTGTTTGTCATGCCTGCCTGCGCACAGCTTCAGAACCTACCACCCTAACATCTTCCCCCTAATTTCCATAAAGGATAGAATCCTTCCTTCACACAAGGAAAATAGTTCCTGATGGTTCTTTTGAATGTTTTCAATGATACCAAACTTTTCATCTTTTTATGGTGAATTTGATTTTTGGAAATATTCAAAAGTCCTTGAAGGCTGAGATCACTTTCCTTATGAGTATTAAAGACTAACACTGTTTTAAACAATTAAGGCATCTGTGGGACAAATGTAAGGTGCTTGAGATGCCTGCTTTGTATGACAATGCTCATTTGGATAACATCTGGGATATTTGGCAAGGAAAAAATTTTCATTACCTGACAATCACATATCATAGACAACACCATGAATTGTAGAACTGGAAGGACTTTTAGAGAATACTTAGCCCAACTTTTCGTTTTATAAATGAGGAAAGTGAGGATCAGAAAGATAAAGTGACCTCTGGGTCAACCAGCTAGGAAGTAATAGGATTAGAACTAGAAAATGGATCCCCTTACTCTCAGTCTAAAACTTGGACCACCATGCCACAATTTCCCTACACACACACACACACACACACACACACACACACACACACAGAGTATGTGACAAAAAATGAAATAGCACCTGCCCTTAAAGAGCTTACATTCTACTGATAAAACTGCAGATAAGCATACGACAAGATAAATTAAGGAATGGAGACCATTAACTGTTTGGGAGAAGAGTGGTACTAGGATGGTCTAACAGAGAAGATATGTGTGTATATATCTATATCTATATCTGTATCTATATCTAATCTATATCTATATCTACATCTATGTCTATGTCTATATCTATATCCACTTATATATGTATATATGTGCATATGTGCATTAATCCTCTTCAAAAACAAAGGACAAACAACACACATGCACACATGTACACATATATGGAACCAGTCAATATCATCTGTAAGATTTATTCTTCGCCGTCTCTGATTGCGTAGGAACTGAAACTGCTTGCGACTATCATAGTAAGGAGAAAGGGAAGATAAATTAGTTGTCCATTATAAATACATAAAGTATCCAGTACAGTCTATGAGATGTTCTTTAGGTCCACCGCCATGATTCCTGGAGCTTCTGTGTTTCCAAAGGTGACTTTGCCCTACTACCCAACAACACTCTCTTTTCACCTAGATGGATGGAAGGGAACCATGGATTATTCACTGTTTTGTTTCCTTTCTTAGATGCATGTAGCTAGCTTTCATTTTGATGGTAATGTGTCAGAGAAAGATGACTTAGTAAGGAGGACACAGCTGTCTTTGTGTAGCTAAAGGGTTGTCACAGAGTAGTTACAAAGAGGCAGATTTAGGTTCAGGCAAAAACTTCCTACCAAAAGGTGGAATGAGATACCTTGGGAGGTAGTGGGATCCCCATCAGTGGAGGTCTTTAAGTAAAAGCTGGATTATCCTTTGTTAAAGTATATGAGGAATCTTCCAACTTGGAGAGTCTACGATTTGTATGGGAAAAAAAGCGGAAGGGTTTTAGGAATCTAGTCTACAGGTTGAAAAGAAGTGGTAGGACAGGAAGAATGGTTTAAGATATTGGAAGATGTAAAGGAAATTTGGTTTTTGCAATTATCAATTATACCAATCAACTACTCAATCAACAACCGACCACCCGTATCACTTAAAGTAGTCAGACTGATACAAAGGAACACCTTTCTATGTGATTAGTTACATTAAGTACACTAACAGCAGCTTGAAGTTATTTATGGCATTTTAAGATTTGAAAAATGCTTTACAAATATTCTCTCTGATCTTCACAGCAACCCTGTGAGTAGGTTTTATTAATACTCCCATTTTACAGATGAGGAAACTGAGAATGAGGGAGATTAAATGACTTGCCTAAGGTCATGAAGCTAGTGTCTGAGGTTGGATTTAAACTCAGATCTTGCTGATTTTAAACCCAGTGCTACTTAACTAATTCTATAACATGCTGAGAACAAATGCAAAGATGTGTCAGCCTTTGGTTTCTGAACAGTTTTGGTTAGTACTAAATACTTTTTTAATGGATTTGTCCAGCATTCAAGCAATAAATAACAACGTCAACTATTCGATGAGCCAAATTAAAAATAAAATAGCTAGCAATTATCTAATGCTAAGTGTGTCTGCTGTCTGTTTCAGGAAATGATCCATGTCCCATCTTTGTTTGGGGACTTTTAGCCTTCTTGGGTTTGTCACTCATCATGTCCTTAATCTTCAATGTTTCCTACTGGGTGGAAAAGCAGCGACAAGGTAAGACAGACATGATGGAGTCAAAAGAATTTTAAAATGACCATAACTATTAGGTATTTTAATTTAATTCAACCAACATTTGTTTCATGCATGCTATGCCAAGACCCTATATGAGATACTTGGGTTAGAATGACGAAAATGAAATAGCCCTTATTTTTAAGAGACTGAGGGGATTCAATATTATGATTTGAAGAAAGAAAGTCTGTTAGCAACAGAGAGGTTGGGGAGGACAGAGGGTTAAAGAGGGGTATTATTAGAACTGAGCCTAGAAGGAAGATAAGAGTTTTAAAAGCCAAAGAGGAAGAGGAGTGCATTAGAGGCATGTCTGTAATGCCTGTGCAAATGTGTGGAAGTAGGAGATGTTTCAAATTTGGTGAATAGATAATAGTCCAATTTGACTATAACGTAGAGCATGTGAATAGGAGTCGTATGAAATAAGGCTAGGCTAGAAAAGGCAAGCTGGAGTCAGATTGTGGCAGCCATTAACTATGAGATGAATGAGTTTGTATTTCATCCTATAGGCAGTATGGGAGCCATAAAGGTTTTTGAAAGAGAAAGTAGCAGGATCAGACCCATGCATGCTTCAGAAGGATTGTTTTGGCAACTCTGAAAGTATGGATTGGAGAAGGAAGAATTTCGAGGGAGAGAAATAAATTAGGGGACTATTGTGATAGTCTAGGCAATTGATGGTAAAAGCTTGAACTAGGATAGCAGAATGAGTTAGTTTTTAGACGGAGAGGAAAGTTAGAAATGATAGGGATTGGCACCTGATTGGATCTGGGGTGTGGTGAAGAAAAGTTTTGAACCTGGGTAACTGAGATGGTGGTCACTTTCATCTCTAGAAATCCTGTCAGTATGCAAAGAAATGGGTTTACTTTGTTTCCTTCTAAGGAATACAATTCCCTTCTATCTTAATACAAGTTTAGAATGTAAAAGAAAATCCTCTTAAATTTAAAATCTTGCCTAATCAGCTGGACAGAGACTGTAGTTTTTGGTCTTATACTTGGGTAATATGCAAAAAAACATGGACCCAGGAGATTCAATGTCAGAGTAGCCCTAGTCCAAAGGCTCACTTGGAAGATTTCTTAGTTCTAGAATGGTCATGGATAGTCTGATATTCTGCTTATAGAGAAGATCAAGAAGCCACATGACATTTTAAGTGTCCATTTAATCTTATTCAGGAATGGAAGACAGTGCAAGGTTCAACTTTTGGTGGCTTCATCAAGTACTAATCTGATTTTCTGTGGTTCTCTAGACCAGGACCAAATTTAAAGCTGGATTAAATCACCCAGAATTGCTGTAGAACAGACAGTGCTACTCTGTAACTCACCCAGGATCTAGGAGTATAGAAAAGAGGCATTAATGGCCTGTGTGATGCACACAGTATGGGTATAATTCAGCAGGATATGCTGTTATTAAAATCCTGACCTGTTCTGGCTTTGGATCCTAGAATATTATATTATAAAACCTGGCAACCAGTGGCAGGGGCTGTAATTAGTTGGGAAGGAATAGAAGAGAGAAGGAAGAAAAATTCCATCCTCTTAGTGGAAATACATTTTCTTGCTAATGCATACAAATAGCTCTAGGTTTAGTTAATATGTATCACACATATATATCTCTGGAGTTTTTAACCTGGGATTCATAAACTTGTTTTTTAAAGTATCTTGCTAATTCTCTTTCAATATAATTGGTTTTCTTTGTTATCCTATTTTATTTTTTAGGTATTTATACATTTTTGTACTTTATTTTATATATTTGAAAACGTATTGAGAAGTGGTCCAAAGGTTTCATCAAACTATCAAAGGGGTCCATGTCACAAAAAAGGTTAAAAACTCCTACTCTATGTATTCCTTTAAGGAAGTGTAGACCAGAAGTTCACAGGATATTTACTAAATAAAAAATAATTTCCTTATTTTGTTGGCGTGTATGCATTTGGTTCTATTTGGGGAATTTCCATTCTGTTTTACTTATCTTTAACTCAATAACAGACAGTTTTAACTAGAACTATTTTAAAATGTTGTAGGGCAAGTCCAACTTCATGTATTTCTCCACTGCCATCACATAAAGCCTTGATATTCTTTCCTATATGTTTTTAGATCAACTCCATTGTGTTTTTTCTAGTTATACAAATAAACCCAATAGTTTTAACATTGACTAATAAGTTAATGTTTGTAACATTATCATTTTTACTATATTGATCTGACCTATGCATGCACATTGAATTTTCCTCTAATTACGTATGCTATTATTTCTGTCAATACAATTTTATGATATCTTCATATGGATCACAGCTAATCTTCAAATATTTTATGCTTTTCGTTGTTAAAATGAGGCTTTAAAATATTTTATTGATTTTTGATGCAGTACTCATTAAGTTCAAAATGTTCTTTTTGAAAAAAAAGTATTGCTTTTAGTATTTTTTTTATCTTAGCAGAAGGGATTCTTAATACTATGTAGAAGACACCAGATGGTAACTTTATGGATTGTAGCTCAAGTCCCATTTATTTTCTTTGATGCATTTAGATGTTGAAAAACTTGCTTTGTTCAAACAACTAATTGAAATAGGAGAGCCAAATTCAGGAATTTATTAGATAGTATTGCTCCTTTCAAAAAAAAACTAGTTGAATTTACTTTTTCAGTCTGAGAACCTGTAAGAGACAACTTTGTGGACAGCTAGGCAGTACAGTGAATAGAGTGCTAGGATGGAAGTCAGGAAAACTCATCTTCAAATGTGTTCAAAAGTGGCCTCAAGAACTTACTAGCTGTGTGACAATGAACAAGTCACTTAACCTTGTTTGTCTCAGTTTCCTCATCTGTAAAGTGAGCTAGAGAAGGAAATGGTAAGCCGTCCAGTATCTTTGCCAAGAAAACCCCAAATGGGGTCACAAAGAGTTGGACATGACTGAAACAACTGACCAACAATGACAATGGATAACTTTAAAGGTGGCATGGCCTATTGAAAATCAAAACCATTATGAACTTAGAGTTTCAGAAAAACTAAAAATAAAAATTTGACTTTACTACAGAATGATCATGTGACCTTAGCCTTCATATTTTTATTTTTCATTATAGGAATAAAAATGTCTTATTCCTATTTTACCTTAAAATTCTCAGCCTAGTCCTAGGGAAGATCAGGGTTTTGCATTGAACTGATAACAACAATAACAAGAATTCATATTTACATAATCTTTTCTAGTTTATAAAGTTATCTATATATATTATCTCTTACAATCCTTAAATCAACTCTGTAAGATAGGTACTGCTCCCATTTTACACGTAAGGAAACTGAGCTGTAAGATAAGTAGTCAGATATTATATTTCTTTATAGCAGTATACCAATGGTCTTATCACCCATTTGTGTTTGTTCTCTTTACTGGACAGATCACAGACTTCATTCTGTGTCCTTATGTGAAGCCCATAAAACATCTACCCAGTGTGATTCAGGCCCACTTTCAAGAGTTTTAATGTTTTCATTAATACCAATGAGGCAACCATGATCTAGTGGATACAAAACTGACCTTGAAGTCTGGAAGGTCAGGATTCAAGTCTTGCCTTTAGCACATACTGTGTGACTCTGGAAACTCACTTAACCTGTGGTGTCCCAGGCAACTTTCTAAGACAATTGCAGAGCAGGTACTGAACTGCTTTGGTAGAGGGAGTTTTTATAACATTGGAATGACAAGTTTGGTTCAGTTAAAAAAAAAAGAGTACCAGAGCAATATTCAGCCCATCCACTATCCCCCTACTGTTAATACATGAGCACTATCCCTCTTTTTCTGTCTTGATGCTTATCTGAAGCCCTTTAAAAAATTTATACGTTTTTGACACAACAGATATTTACCATCAGAATCTGAGGACTTTTTCTTTGTGTCCCCAGCATTTAGTACAATTCCTATCACAGTAATAACTGCTTGCTTGCTTGTTCAAATGAACACCCAAATACTCTCCCTCCTCTGAAATGTTATAACCTGAAAACCATTAAGCCAAATTATCTAATAATGAGATTGAATCTAATAGAACATGTCATGTCCTACTGTCATAGTTTATAAATTGTTACATACAGAAAGTATATGTTCTTTAACCATGATGGTATGGTACCAACTTTTCCAAATCTATTTAACTTCGGTTTTGTTATCTTTTTTATATTTCCTGCTTTTCCAGCCATTTGTGTTGATTAAAGAGTTCATTCCCCAATAGTTTGTATTCTTGCATTTATGAAACATTGGCCTCTTATTCATGTTTGCTTTTATGACTTGCTTATGTGATCTATGTTCTTATTTTATGCATAACTGGATAGTTTTTAATAATTAGTGATCTGTTATATAAAAATTTATAGATTAATTATATATGTGTAAATATAGTATATAAAATTTATATATAAATATATTACATGTATATAACCAATCACTAATTATAAAAGAACTGTGTATGTGTGTGTATATATATATATATATATATATATATATATATATATATATGTAGTGAAAAATGATTCTCAGAGCTTCCCCCTACAAGTCAGCCCCCTTTTGAAAAGTTCTTCAGAAGAACATTACTGATAATAAGATTGCATTGATTCTTGTCTTGGTCAAACTCCAACCCAGGCCTAAATTGATTTAATCTGCTCAAATTTGGGTGGAGATGGATTCTTCTGCTTAGATAGCCCAACACTGGGGCTGGTATTTCCTCTGTCCTCTGGATGGCGGGATGAAATCAGCCCCTCTTGACCAAAAAGACCTCATTTTAGTATAGCCTACCTCCCAGTGTGTTGACCAATCAGGGTTGATTGGCACCCCTTGGGAACACATACTTTGAAGGACATATAATCCTGTATCCCCAAATCCCAAACCGAACCAAGTTTTGGACTGACCTCCTATGTAATGCATGTCAAGCCAGCTTGAGAGAATTTAAAGAGCAGACACATGCACCCTAATTTCATTTGTCTCTTTCTTAGAACAGACTCTGTTTTTAAATTGGGGTTTGACAATATGCATATATACATT